CAACACTTGTCTGAAAAACGGGTATTTATTTTAAATTATATCTTGAGACCATAGTGTGAAATTAATATCTATTCATTTCTGATAGTGGACGAAAACGACGTATGATCACTCCCACTAATTCAATGGATGGATGGTGTAATAATATCCAAAAACGGCTGCAATTAAACGCAACTCAATTTCGTAAATGTTCCTTTCAGCTTAGCAACCAATCAGAATGGGGTGGAGATTATTATATCCGCTATCTTTGTAAGCATTGGCGGTCGGCTTTCTTCGTTCTGTGCTTCTTTCAGCTATTTCTTTCGTGTAGCTATGTAATTTAATGTTTCGGTGTGCTAAAATGCCGCAGTTAGTGTAATGTTCTATATGTTAGTGTGAAATTTACTTCGAATGAGCGATTTTCTCTGGGTTTTTGCTGCTTCTACTCAAGTTAATGTATTTCATCAGGCACTCTGGCTAGTCTTGTGTTATAAAATGTTAATGCGTTTTGTTCTGAGTTCCTTTTTTCAGATATCGGGAGCCAAGGTTAGTTTCGTTAGCTTAAATAAGTGTTGCGGCTGTATGGAACTCGAAATGTCGGCATAATCGTTCCTAACTGGCAGGCAAGCTCTTTTTTTTCTTATGTCATAAAATCTTAATCCGTTATATTTTGAGCATTGTTTTTTAGATATGGAGAACGGAAGTTAGTTTTCTTTAGCTAAAATAATTGTTGCTGCTGCATGTGACCGTAACTGGCCCCATATTCGTTCCTAACTGTTATTTATTGTTATCAGGCAGAATGAAAATTTGTTATTTTCTGCAGTATTATGGATCACGCTACTCCATCAACCGGTCAAATTAATACCGGGTGTCCAGTGGCTGTGGATACCAGTGATGTCTTCGAAATGATTATGAGACCCAGGCACCTGACAAGGTGGGACCAAGTCAGCGAACCTATTGATCTGCTGCAAAAGGTGTGTTACTGATAATAAACCATCTAAAAAGTAATAGATGACTTGGACTTATTATGTTGTACGTGAAAGCAGGCTGAACAAAGAAAAGCCGGAAATTCGCTATGAGTACGTAGTGTATGTATGTTCTTTTGGCCATGAAAAGAAACCAGAGGGCTACGGTCAGAGAGTAAAAGAGTAAATGATTATTATTATTATTGTTTTCAATTTTCACAGATCAAAGTTTGGTGGTTGTAATGCCATGTTTCGTTTACGGTATACTGTGAACCGGTTCGTCATATCGTCATCGAGGATGATACATAACCATCCTTGTAGTGAAAAGCGCTTGAAAAATGATCCTTGGTTCAGAAGACTAAGTGGAGATCAGTTGAAGGTTGTTCTACCGATGGTTGAGACTGGAAGTAGTGCTGAATCTATTGTTAAGTATGCAGAAGAAGATTTCGAAAAGACAATAACAGTGCATTATGTCAATAATTTAAGATATAAATTTGTCGGACGTAAGCTTATCCCATATATCTACGGTTTCTTAGGTTGTGGAAGTTTAAACGATGTAATTGCAACCTTACGGAACAATGGAAAATTGTTCGTTTCTTATGGGGGTTGGCTAACCAGGTCACAAAGATAGCATTTAGCACACACGAGCAAATTGTAACGTACAAACGGTTCCCTGAAGTTGTGTGTTTAGATTTAAAATACAACACGAACAGGGGAAAGTAAGTAAAATTCTCCTGCGCACTAATTGTTTTTTGTTATAGACTCTTTCAGTTGGTTTGTACAGATAACTGTGGGCATGGAGTCCCAGTTATGTTTGCTTGGACCAAGGAAGAGAAGAGGGTTGATGTAGTATGGATACCGGATCATTTTAAAAAGATCATGAATAGAACCAGTCAAACGGAAACAATTGTGATGGTTGTGCAAGATCCATCATATCCGCTGTTGAATTAACGCACCGTACTGCTCACATAGCTCTATGCTCTTTTCACATGTGTAGAGCTATGTGTGGACTTATGTACATCAAGAATAGCCAGTCACCCTTTGTGTTCTTCGTAGACGGCCATCAATGTCCGGTAGTGGATGGACTTGGCAGGCTGTCCAAGATGTGGATGAAAATGTACCAGCTATTCTGTCTCCAGATTATAATGAAACGAACAGACTTTATCGCACTCTACGCAGTAAAATCCACACACTCAGTACACTATTCGGACAAACGACGGTGCAGGACACACTAAGTCAATTGATAGATAATCAATGAACACAAATCTCGTCATGTGCACCTGCTGCGTTACCAGTTTTTGTTAATACCTTATCAAATAGAAGTCTTGTATTCACTAAATACAGAGTTTCTTGCTATATTTGGTATAAGGGGGTGAAAACATTGAATTGGCCTGTAGTTGTGTTTTGACGAGCGCGTACCCTCACGATACTAGTGACCCGTCAGTGTAGCTAAGGTATTGATTGGAAATCCGACGGGATCCCAATAAACAACTATGGCTTAAACGCGTACCCATCAACGTACTACTGCAACACATCATGGCGGCTGAAATAGGTTATAAGGAGGCCCGGACTTAGAGGTTTCCCGTTGCTTGTTTATCATATGGTATTTAATCAAAAACTAAGATTACAGATAGGGACTGTTGGGATGCGTAACTGAGTCAACTGTCTTATTTGAAATTACTACATATCAACTAGGTGCTGACAGGCTCACCAGTTTCTTGCAACGATTAACTAGATAAAACGAAATATCATCAAGTCTATGAATTTATTCACAAACTTTAATTAACAATGGAATATGAAACAAATATTTATACCAGGTTCCAAATTACATTGTAGCATTGGTAAAGTGAAGCCGCGGTAATTGTTTCTTTTCAAACTACAGGGTATAAGAAGTAACTCCAAAACACTGGAAGTGGTTGTGAGACTAAAGTGGACGTCCGATATGCTTTTAATAATCTGCTGTTACTTGAGTCTCCCATAAAGTTTCATAGGGCCATAGTTATAAAGCTGAATGACTTTGTAAGATCTGTGACGGCTCATTCTTGTTACATTCTAAATAAAAGATAGTAATGGATTTAGTCAAGAATGTTGAAAAGGTAAATAAACAAATTACATGTTTCTAAGGAAAGAATTTATGCAGCTGTGATTTGCCTCGACTTCATAAATATCAGATCACGCCAGCTACTAAAACTTGTGTAACGTACAGCATCAGACAGCTTTTATTATTTTGCTCCCACTTAAGTATTCCCATGCATCTGCGTCTGGTTTTACAGGAAGATATACAAGTTGATTTAGTATCTGGTAAACTAAAAGTTCCAGTTGTCAAAAAGACTCTTAGTATTTGTCCACAGCCAACAGCATTTAATTAAGACAGAACAATCTTCATCTAAGACTGTATACTGCTGTTTTGCAGGCAAATAAAAGCTCAAACACTTAGCTATCCTGCTACTGATGTTATTGCTGGGGAAATCATTCAGTGGCAGTGGTCTTGAAACATGAACAGTGTTAGACGTACTGTCTACAAATAAACACCAAACGTACTTAAAGCTGTCTTATAATGTATGACAGCAACAATACCAAAGGCATTTTTTCCTATTTTTAATCAGACTGATTTGAATCAGATTACTCATTAAAAACAGGCAGCTCTACTTACTAAACTGACCTGTTTCGTTACAGGCTTCAAGCACTATACTTAAGTATACTATAATTCTATAGACTAAACCAAATTATACGGCAGTCAGGAATACTAAACTAAGCAAGTATCATAATTATTGTTCCATTTGCACAGACATGTTGCTCAACGGAGTCAAATGAACATATTTCATCCGATAGGCCAGTCAAACTTACCTAAGAGAAAACGAAGGATACATATATACTGCTTTCACACTGAAGACAACAGGCAGTTGTTCATAAAACATAGTTTACAGTACAAAAAACTTTCTTCATTAAAATCATGCACTGACAGTCTATCTGGAAACAATCAACTATGTGAATAAACTCACTATGACTTGAGATATCATCCCAGCGTGCAATGGACGTTTAGTGTAACGCAGTACGACGTGACGAATAAATATTAAAAACAGAGGAAAATTAACTACATAATCTAGTTATTTAATTAAATGACAAAATCTGTGGTTACTTGAACCCACAGATGACCTTGGGCGATACATTAAGTTTACATGGTTGCGTTGTGGATAAATTCACCCCCAAAAACATATACATGTGCACTAGCTATAAGCAAATATTCTTACCACCAGTTTTTTTAAAATGAATTTGATGTCATAAGATGTCAAGACCTACTTACCACCGAATGAACCGAAACTGTCGCAGCCAAAATTTCAAGAAAGGCGTCGTACTTTCAAAGATACGCGACTTACGTTCACTATGCTCCGCAAAACGGATAAAACAGGTGCTAAAATGAAAATTTTTGTATCATGGGTATTTTTAAATCTTTAAAAAGGAGTTGAGGTGACTTAAACTCCGCCGACTCCAGAGACCCCCAGATTGGTTTACACGGACGGCTTGGAAATCTCAATCTCACCGCAGTACTATGGGCTAGGTTAAAGTATCACTTAATCATAGCGTTGATGATACTGAAGAAAGCACTTTGATGCTGATTTTTATTTTATTTTCGTCCGACTACTCTATAACAAGTTAATGACACAAAAGGTTAGCATTATATAACAGTGACGATCCATATTACACTAAGACGCAGCTTTACCTGCAGAGTAAACAGCGTTTAAAACATTTTATTAGAATACGTTCGCTTTCGTCTACTATCTGATATTAAAATTGACTGATAGTTAAGCAAATGTTTATATCTTGAAGGTACTATAAAGTCTCATGGTTCCTGTACTTACAACAAAATTCCGGAACTACGATGCTCCAAGCGTATGCATTTTACTTATGAAGATATTTTTTTATAAAACTAAAATAGAAATCAGATTAGCAGACCTTGAAACGCGGCTGGAAAATAACCTTAAAAGGCGGCTAGAGTACATTCGAAATTGTTTTACCCGTTTCAACTGACGCTCTGTAATTGAATTCTAGTTATATGATATGGGGGACTATGCTGAGGCAGAGGGTATCGCCCTGAAACGCTTAGCAGAGGAACGGAAAGCATGGCGAAAAGACCATCCCTTTGTATGTTAACTAAATAATTATATCATGTCTTAAGGGTTTTGTAGCCAAGCCCATGAAGAACCCTGATGGCTCGTTAGACCTGATGACTTGGAATTGTAGTATACCTGGAAAAAAGGCGTAAGATTCATGTTATATTCTTTCTAAAACTATTTAGACATTGTGGGAGGGAGGATTGTTCAGTCTTAGAATGTATTTCAAGCCAGAATATCCAACAACACCACCCAAATGCAAGTTTGAGCCACCATTGTTCCATCCCAATGTATTTCCGTCTGGTACCGTATGTCTCTCCCTCTTGGATGAAGAAAAGCACTGGAGACCAGCAGTTACAATCAAACAGGTATCTAAAAAAAACTTTTTAACATACTCTAAGATTCTCTTAGGTATTCAAGATTTATTAGATCATCCAAATCCTAAAGATCCTGCTCAAGCTGATGCTTATACGTTATATATACAAAACAGAAAGGAATACGATACACGAGTTAAAAAGCAGGCCGAGTCTTTTCGAAACCCCAACTTGTAACTTTCTATATTTCATTGCAAGATATAAGATAACCATATAAGTGTAAATACATGACAAATCTTATGCTTCAACATAGTTGTTATTCTGTTTCATGCCCCGATGGGCTTTTCTTTACTATTTTCAACCTACTCATACTTTGAAATTGCAACTATCTACTAGGTAATTGCTTCTAGATGCGGTGAAATCCATAATAGAACTGGATCACAATCATTACCAACAGTTTTTGTCTGTTGTTAGACCTGTCATTTGTTCTATTCCTAAGTATCACTTATTAGTTAAGTTCTTTATAAGTATTTAAGTGCCGAACGTGGTGTGCTAAGAATAGAAACTATACCAAAAGACGGTGATGTGAACTGTTCGCCTGAATTTCATCAATCAGTTCCCTTGGCAGTTCTCTTTTCAAAGCTGTCGGGTAATGTTGGCATGTCTGAAGATACAAATGTTTCTTTGTTGATTTCTGTCCAAGTCAGTTCCCTAACTTCGTGAGATGTGGATGTCTAAAGTATTCAGTGATAAATATTCTTTTACGAGCTGATTGACAATCTAGTCTGCTAGGATACGGCATTTAACTGCTGTCTAAATGTTGGGATGCACATGACACTTATGGTCACTAATCGCCTACAATTTCTAAGCATGAGTCTCTGCAAATTCGTCGGTATATGTTTTCAAGTCATGTCTTTCGTTTCATACATCATGATCAGGTACATAAATTCCTCGTTGGCAGTAATTGTATTTGGAGTCGAAGGGAATTAAGTAGGTTAACATAAAGTATGGCAACTGTTGTTAGTTCTTTACGTTGGACAGAACTTGTTTGGAGAAGTCAGCACCCTGTCCAGAGATGTTCGTTCCAAAATACCATCCATAGTGGTTTGAGTTAGTTCATTTCTCTTTGCCGTAGTTGCTAGGGTCCTCAGACAACCTATACCACTCACAATTCAAACTTCTTGATGGAGGTTGTAGCTGCTGCTGTTTATTTGGTCTTTTCATTTGATCACAATAAATAACTACTAGTGGTTCCTCCCTCCATTTCCTTGCGATTCAGAGGTTGGACTTTCAGTCAGTTTGCATTCGTCCTCTTTACGTGATTTTCTGGACTTATCGGGATTGGATTCTACTGGGAAGAAGTATCAGTACAGCCGTTTGTAGCGTAGCACATGAAACTAAATTGACTCTACTCTCCAAGTCTTTAGGTTCGTATCAAACCAGGATGGGTTGTTCTGTATCCATTCGGGAATTTAAAACATAACTCCCTGTCGTACCATAGTGCATTGGAATTCAGCTGGAGTATCGTCACCGTTGCATCATATGTTATAATCCCTAACTTTCTCTAGGCGAATATGAGTATTGTCTGTTATATTATCTGGCATACACAAATAACTTAATATTACAAACTCAACTGACTATAACGCCTCGCTGCAAAGGACATATGCAGATATATGTTCCTCCAAAACTTGTAGAAATCTTCCGCTTGATAGTGTGCCAAAATACATGTTAGCCTTGTATGCATTTGAGTGATTTTTATGTAATCAAACTGTTATGATCTCTTTCTTCTTACGGTTATGACCCAGCTATTCCTATTGCTTAGTATTCTCGGACACCGGTTCACTCGACAAGTCCCCAAATCAGAACACGGTTGAACAGGAAAGAGATTATATTCCAAATAGCAAGTCAGAAGCACAATAGAGAAAACGTCAGTATATTTATAGTTTTTTACATGAGAAGATTCCAGAGTATTCTCCAACTATCGACTAGTGCTGATTGGATAAGAATTAGCCAATCAGCGTGCACCAAAGCAATCATGCATTGAGCATGCCTTAATCCAGTCTATGTCCCGCTAACACAAACAATAAGAATAATTGTTTATTCGAGGTTTCTCTTCATAATTTAGACCCACTCCCTCACGTTTCCTCGACAGAAGCTGAAACCTTGTGTTTAAAGGAATCTGCTTACAAACAATGTCACAGGTTCAAGTCCCTTGCTACCCACTTCGTGTTGGGTATCTGGTTAATATTGTCAGTCCTCACGCAAACTATGCCTAAAGCCAAGTACATAGTTATGTACATGGCAAGTGGGTTATATCTTTACACCTTTACATCTACAAAATGCCATCGATGGAACCATTGAGAGGGGTAGTGATGTGACCAGTACATCCACGATTTGAAAGGAACCCGGCTAGTTGTTTACGAGTCAGTCATCCGTGTTAAGCACAAATCCTTGTATAAAGATTGCTACTACCGGCTAGTCGCTTGTAACACTGTAGCCAACTTCTATTATAACGTGTACTTTTACAAATTAGCAGGGCACACATAACCGATGCAGATGCTTTTTCACTCTCTGAATGCCTACAAACCATCGTTTAATTTCTGCGAGAGCGAAACTGGTAATCTGTGATGTACTTTTATACACTAGAATTCCAAATGATAGATGTCTAGACATTATTGGTTGTCTGCTGGAGAATAACAATATTCTCCAGTAAATGTCTACTAAGCATCAGTTCAATCATGAAATATTTCAAGCTGCTTGAATTCAACGCTGTTCACCTCCAGAGGGACTTTATACGAACAACAGGTCTTAAGAACATACGAAATTAAACCTTTCTATAAAATAACCAACACTACGAAACGCCTTGGTTAGAACTAAAGGTCGCGTTTACATTTACGTAAAATCCCGTCTACGGATTAGTTTATGTCGATTGTGATACGTTTTACATTGAAGAATCTCGACTCGTGCCAAGGAACACCTAAGTTACACAGAAAGTCCTAATAATCCTGTAGAACTGGAAAATCTACAACTAAAACCGGGAATAGCAGTACATGTTATTTTCAATAATCACCGATTTGATATTAAAAATCTCAATAATTCATAAAAACCTTCCCAACTATAAAAAGAGCGAGTAGCCTAAGGGTCTCACATAATGCTAAATCCCTCTGCCATCAACAGTGAGAAGGCCTGAATATTCATTCAACTTTGACCGTTTCCCCAAACAGCCACATTTGACTCTATTCCCACAATTTATGCACACACTCACTACAAATTATACATTTTTCACAACCACCATCATGGACACAGATGGAAACAGTGATGTCTCATACAGAATCACCTTGATGAAAAATAACACTACATTGTTATATTCAAACCTATTATGATTTTGATTGTACTAAAAATGCTCTGCATTTAAATATGTTATTTATAACAATCTACCCAATGCTCAATTTACTCGAAATTATCAAATCAAACCTTGATAATGATACCTACAATTCTGCTTTGTTTCCTTCGTACTATTTAAACACGTTAATTTTATTTCCATTATTTATTTGCTTACTCTGAAGAAGTGAGTGACATTGAGTCACGAGACGTCAGGAATGCAGATTTCTACTAGTCGAGATATCACAAGAATATTTATTGTCATCGTTTAAGTAAGCCCGTTTCTCTTCAAATCGGTCCCTCCCATTTAAAACTAAAAACACCAATAGTCCTAACGTATTTTAGTTACTAAACACATCCTACTAACACAAAGAATAAGTAGAGTAGAATGTGAACGAGAAATATGCGAAGAGATATTTTTGAAAATATGGTTATTTTCTCAGTATTAAAAGTAATGAATACATTATTTCTAACAATTTTGGAAACTTGGATCTATATGTGACTTCATAGTATTGATAGAGTTTGAGATGCTTTGGGTGACCATACTTTGAATATTTAGTATACAAGAATATTCACTAAACTATTAGGATATCCCCTACTTGCCACTAGAAAGAGATTTCGATTCAGAACATTAAGATGTAACAAACCTCTGAAGTTAGTGCCACAACAGTCAATAGTCCACATTTAAATAATTCCTATAAAAGACCCAGAATCACAGATAGCATGTAGTGTCCAGCACTATATCATGCTTACGTTACTCTGGATTGTGGATAGAACAATTAATCCACCCTTTTTGAGTCGGTACCAACATTCATCTTGACCTTGTCAATCATTCCCCCATATCCTTATTTGTTTTTTGAGTTTTTGTATGTGTTTATCACTTACCCTATTCATCACATCTCTTTAGTTTATTTTCATGTCTGAACATAAATAGTGAGTCACGCCTTACCAAATTGAGTTTATACGACTACCGTTTCGGCTTTCTTTCACTTATCGTCTGTTTGTGGTGACGAGTGTATGAAATATACGTATCCAAAAGCCAATCTCGCATTCGATTTAATCTTTACTGTTAATCACTAACGTGAATGAAGTCGATAAATATGTACGAGGGCAGGCGGGATATCTATTTTTTACCATCATCATACGATCAAATTCGAGTCAGATAAAGGGACATGATAAGCGACAAAAACCACAATTATAAGCTTAAATGACAGAATATAGCACACGATTCTTCTTTAATTAAAGCTGCAGTGAGTGACACTGATTTTATTTAACGATGTAGAATTATAGCTTTTAACAACTAGTCGCCATAACTGTGAATATGAAAATAAAGGATTAAAAACTTATATTCGACGAAATCTGAGCAGGATGTGTTCAAGGTAGAATAAAATAACAAGAACTACTCAGTTGTTTAAAGTTAACACATTCAACTAAAGTTTTAGAACAACTTAAAAATGTACGGAGTTCCGGAAAAATCAAAACTAATCTTGGAAAATATATTCTTAGTGAATTTTGATTTCTTGAAATGTACAGAAATTTTTCGCTTGTGACAAATGAATAATCAATGAGTTGTTAGAGCGATTCAAACGACAGTTACAGGGTAGCAACCAGACACTAGTTAAATTACTAAGCCATTAAAAATTTACTTTTTTGCTACAAAATAACTAAAATATCTACATATTTATGATCTGAATTTGTCTATTTGTTTAGTGGATATCCAGCATACTCATCTCCGTCATCTTGAAGTATTCTTTCTTCTTGTAAACATGTTTCATCAGTAGGAACTGCTAGATAATGAGGCTCACGCTGTAAACGTTCATGCTTTTCAAGTAATGATTTTGTGGCATTGAATTGGTAACAGACCGTCATAATAGGTAAACTAGGATTAGCTAAATGAATATAGGAACACTGAATGGATTTCTTCACACTAGATGTCTCACTATGAGTCATAATATTACCGAAAACAGGGAGAGGGGACATAAAAACTCCACGTTCATATTGTGGACACTTTTGATAAGCTTTAAGACTGCAAATATCAAAAGCCACGCCTACTTGGCATATTCCGCAGTTGTTCATTACCGAGCTGACACACTGCTTTTGGAAATTCTGTCTGTACATTGAATGAAAGGCTAAAAGCCTCAAAAACTGACGAATCCAACCGCCATGACCTACCTAAAGAGAAAAATGCGCACTCATAATTAAGAAAATTATAATAAATTACAATAAAACACAAGAACAAAGTAAAACTTTCTACACCCGTCTACGCGACACAATAATAAAAATAGACAGAACACAATACTATAAGTAGACTTAAAATTCTCTCTACAGTAGACCGTTTGGTGTTAACAAAACGAGAAAACAGTGAAGTTTTGCTTCCGTACACTTTGTCCACTCGTGAGAAAAGAGGATTAGAAAGTGACTTGACTATCTTGTCTGTCCGTGTAATACAACTGCTATTTTAACGCTAAATAAGCTTGTATACATTTAGAGAAGAGGTGACCCCAAACAAACCTTATTTATTTAATAAATTCAGAATTTTTACTTCAGCTATATTCGCAGTTTTATACTATGGTTACATCTATTGATGACTATCGTAACCAGTGGTTGGAGACTCTGGGTGACATGGATCAGGATCGATCACAATGGCGTAGGTATATACACTCTTTGTCTTCCCTTAAACCGTGAGATTAAAATCGCTTCATATTTTTCTTTCTACGAACTGATTTTTTCTTCCTGTACTATGTCCATGTATGTAATCTTTCTTTTATATATTACCACCATTGAATTAACTACTTCTATAAATTCAGTGTTCATCTTGTTGTGCTAATGAGGTATGGCAACTCGGGCCGATGCACGTATGTCCCTGATCCTACGTTGTAGGTGACTGACATCTATTGACATTTATAAATAATAAATTTGGACTATCTGCATAAACTATTACGTCGTTCACATATTGTCAGTTAAATTCACATCACATCAGTCAATGTAGATCTGATACAGATGTGCACTGCCCCAATTCCCCATACCATGTTAACACAATAAAATGAAATTAATAAAATGAATAGCAAAAGAAATTGATATAATATAGTCACAATGATAATGAAAAATACTGAGCAATAAGAATACAGTTTAAAAGATAGAGTGGAAAATTATGCATGACGGAATACTAAGTTCAAGATGGTATTAATTTAATGTCATTTCAATGAAATAATTAACTGCACCAAATCACTTTCTTTCTGAATTATATGTCTGAAACTCTCCCACAAACCCTAAATGGCTTCAGATGATCGAGTTAGCCATCCCAGATGCAGTTTTCTTATCTCTGACTTACGAACAACACATTTGCGACTAAGTAAAAGTCAGTCAATCACACTACAGAGATCTGCATTTATGCACCTAGTGCCTAATAAAGATATGTCTATATATGAATAAACTGGACAACAGTAAGTACTGAACCCATTAATAGACTGATTGATTCTGATGCCTACTACATGAATTTACATCAATTTGATATGCAGAAAACCCCGTATGAATTAAATCTATTGAATGAGATACAATAAAACATGCTAAAATCAACTAAAAGATAATCAAAAATCTACCTAAAAACAAAAGATACATACAAGTTCAAACTGATTAATAATAATAAATTAAGTGAGATCATGAACAGATTAATATTGGACCACCAGTGAAAACCTGGAAGCAGTGGAAGGTCGTTTCGTCGTAGAGCACCCACGATCCCGTACACAGGACTCGAATCCAGAACCCCCTGCCTTAAGCGCGAAAGATCAACCTCTAGACCACTGAGCCGGCATCCAACCTTTGGTCTCAATTAAAACTCAACAATCTCCACAACCCTATACTGATAATTATCACATGTTCGCTAGTGACCAGCCTTGAGAGGTAATTCTTGGAGTTCTAGTGAGAAGCCGTGTCCAGTGGAGTTCAGCCGTGTCGGGTGTGCGGTATTTACTCATCGAAGACAATGGAAGATGGCTACTCAGTATCGTGGACTGGTTGTATTTCGACAAAAACAGCGTCGGATCCCGGCTGAGTGGTCTGGAAGTCAGGCGTTCGCGCGCCAGACCGGGTCCCGAGCTCGAGTCCCGCGCGCGGGATAGTGGATGCGCTTTGCTAAGGAGTCCCATACAAGGAAGAAGCGGCCTAATATTGATCTGTTCATGATCTCAATTAAAACTCAACAATCTTCACAACCCTGTACCGATAAATTAAATGATAAATACTGCTAATATCCCTTAATTATGAGTGGATAAATGAAATCGTATGACTCGTGTACTATTCATAATTCCATTATAAGAATCATATCCGATTTCAATTGTCCTATTATACGTTTTTCTTATGATCTTTCCTAGTTTCCGCATTTTTTGTTACTGTGCGAGGATTTTCTTTGTTTGACTTGTTATACAAAAAAGATGTTTTTAGCATAAGCAAGAATTAACTTTAGCGATTTGTCAGTCGCTGTATATTTTTTGTTACCTTATCTTGTTCCTAATTCTTTACCCTGGACTTTTGAGAAAAGGATGAGATGTTGTATGTGGATCAGTGAAAGCTTTTATTAGGGTCAGTATTTAAGCTTTCAACTGTTAGGAACACGGTTGTGGATAGACACTTAAAATCTTGCAAACAGACTAAATAAAAACCAATCACTTTCCTCTTATCTATTCTCTGAAAAATCGAGATGGGAATACGTTGAAATCAATCCATGTGAATCAACACACAAAAGCACTACAATCCTTTTTTAGGACATATATCAAGTGAGCAAAAGTAGCAGAGAACTAACAGAAACTTTTGCGTTTGAAGACAAGTAGTTATTAATCACAGTTGTGAAGACATCCTAAAATATGTTCAGTATAAATTCAATTTAAGAACTTATAGGACTATTTTACTCTAAGAATTCTCTAACATACTAAATATATAATACTTAATAGAGCAATTATTAATAAGCAATTAACATTTAATTATTTTCTTCACTTTAACAAACAAGCGTTTTTCAAATACAAGCACTCGAAGATACTCTAGATACGACAAAATCGTACAACGCTTTTGTCAGGGAACTTCAAGTACTATATTCAGCAGTCAAATAGGAAACTGGACGATAAGAATTGGAAGTTACGACGTCACGATGATTGACCAAGCGCCTACATCTCAGTCCTCGTTAGAACTAACAGTATAAACACCAATGTACAATCTACAAAATTATTTATTTTTCCCGGTTATTTACTGTACGAACGAATTTAAGTAAATTACTAATAGACAACATTGTGAATAGACAGTGCGAAAACTACCGTTAGATAAGTTATTACATCAACTTGTATGCACTACTGTTCCTTGGTGATCACCATTCTTTGTTATTGTAGTTCCCGTTACCAAAATAAATAAGACAGAAATCAATAAGATTCAACACGTAAAAATTTAACATAGTATCTTTTATAACCTTTTTAGCGAAGACTCCATTACAATATGGTATCGTAATATGTAAAAGAATTGATGATACATTGGACTTACAATAAGAACATGTCCTGCATAAGTGGATATAGGCGATTCTGCAGCTTTGGCATTTACATTTGGAAAGACATCAAAATTCTTACAAATTAGCTTCCCCATCGGTAGCAAATCACTAGACCCTATGATTGGAAAAGGATCTTGACAAGAAACGTTGGTATGCTTCACCCTGTTTCTACAAGACGAGAACACAGATCCAGAAGAAAGTCATGTGTCCGACTTGCCATCTATAACCATTATAGGAAGTAAAATACAAATAATCACACTTGGTGGAGCCTATACAACCGAAAACAAGTTCAAACTAGTGAAATCATTCGATAATTAACAATTTGAAAATAATAATAACATTTTTACTCCAACTAACTTTAAAATTATCACATCTATTCAGTAAAAAGAAGTTGCATTAGATTCGTTGATAATAAATCTCAGATAAACTAAAAGTTCGACTGTATGGAGAATACTATGATATAAAGACAATATGATGTATAACAAAGATCTTAAACGAAATAACAGTATCATTAGAGATTAAATAGTCACAACCTTTGGCATCTATTTCCATATAACTCAAACAAATGGATGACCAACCAAGAAACACTTGGTTTTAGAATAAAATATAAAGAATAATGATATGTTTAGAATGTTGCCAAATATCCCATTGTTGTATAAGTGGTTGCAACTGCAGGTCTAGCAATATCAATACCGTACAGTATTGATAATTTATTGAATTCTGATAATTAATAACTAAATATAAGTTTATGTATGAGAACCCGATTTACATATATCGTGTGAAGGACCACCCAAGTAAAAATAGACAGAGGTTCGATTCTGCAAACAAACATTAAGTTTAATCCGGCAACTAACTGCACTTCCGCATTGTGCAATCGGAAAGGGAATACAATACCGATTGCTACAAAGTTAGGCAAAAGATATTAGTTTAAGAGACATCCAAAATAATTAAAAGTAAAAACCTCTTTCATATTTGGCCTCAGTTTACCAAGTAGTTGTTGCTCACTAACATTTGGTGATAATATTTCGAAGTTTTCACTCAGTCACCTAAAACGTAGGACCAGACACATATATGGATCGGTTCAAGTTGCCACACCTCATTAGCACAGCAAGATGAACACCGAATTCATAAAGTAGTTACTTCAATAGTAGTAATTTGTAAAAGATTGTGTATAAGGATATAATCCAGGAAGAAAGAATCAGTTCATAGAAAGGAAAGTATAGAGCAATTTTAATCTCACAATCTAAGGGAAGACAAAGAGTGCATACATCTATGCCGTTGTGACCGATTCTGATCCATGTCACCCAGAGTCCCCAACAGTAGTCAGCATTGCGCGCCGTAGTAATCGGTGTTCAGACATACATAACGACGTGACCCAACCCACTCAGTCGATGAAGATTTACAACCTCACCAACTGATTTACCATCATTCAGGTTTTCACTAAGACATCCAAAAACCACTACATTGCGAAAATTGTAAATTTCTGACAATGGTGATTACAAATAAAAGTGTTACGCTTAGTTTATTGTATTTTCGCCGATCCTTGAAGTAATATAAGCAAATTTATGACGTACACCAAAGGTAGGATATAAGGTCTTCATTTAGAAAAATAAGTTGAAACAGATTACATTTCATTCAGTAAGCAAAAAGTACTGAAAATATAACTGTAATATCACCTCCACAGATAACAAAACACGTATAACTGTTTAAACAATATTTTAAAAAATCAATAACCTCATGAGTACATTCTCCACCAATGTTGCGCCAGCCATCACATTCAAATCCAGTCTTGAAATTTGTTTCTGTGAATTGCTGAACTTCAGATCTTGGGCGACCAGTAAGAGATCCAAAGTTCTGTCGTACTAATCAGTTAATAAATTGAATCTAAACATACTCTTTCACGTATTCGTGATTCCAGTTCAATAACAGACGGGTCGGTTATCTCATATGCCGTCTAAGAAAATACACACAAATTTAAATGCAAGTATCAGTGAAATACTACAACACTACATAATATACACGTCGCCAGCACCACTACCAAATTTACTACAGAATTAACAGCAATCTTTGACTTCATCGTCCTATTGATTTAATTTCAACTGGATCGATCATAAAACTTCTACGTCCACAAGTATAACACATGTACATAATAAGTTATCAAATATTGGAAAAAACAAATAGGAAATCTACCATCAATGCACGGAACACTGTTTGAATTAAGAATGCATTAAAACTCTGACAACGATACTACTTTCAACTGTCAAGCTACATGCTTAGGACCTGATTTAACAACTTTGCCTTGAGAATTCGGGTAGCATTACTCTTTCTCACACTAAGGTTTCCGCAATTTAAAATCTTAAGGTAGTTGTTTTACTGAGTATTTACCTTTACAAGGTGTTTCTGTACCTATGATTCGATTTAAAGTCTACATACAAAATAACGGTTGGGTGAATTACATCATATAGATAGCCGACCGGTCATAACTGACACGCATTAGTCACCTTATTCTAAAAGCAGCTACTTCTCAGTACAATTTTTTACAATGTTCATATCGAAAAACTGGTCCGAGTAAATTATGATTTCCAAAGGCTGGCTCCTAACCACAAAATGAAGATAATTGTTCTTATTGATTGGGTAAAATAAAGAAGCAAATCTTAATTATGCCTTATTTTGATTTTGCTATATAAAACAAGTTGAGCAAGAAGAAAATCCTTCAGTCTTATTTTATTATTACACAGTGAGTATAAGAATCATTCATTGATAACACTAAACTGTAAGTATAAAAACTAAAATAACTGCCTCATCACGATTCCTGTTGACCAATAACAGATTTATGACTATTTACTGAGAACGTAAACAGGTATACTTCTCGCCTTGAAAAATATGTTTGTTCTGAAGAAAACTTTCATGACAAAAACCCGAAATCATAAAAATGTTAAATTTGCCCAAGTGGTTCAAATGGTATTGGATGAAATTGAAGCTCTCGCTTAACGGGTTTTCGTATCTAGTAGCAATGGATCAGTCTTCAGTAATAAGGATAGTAGGTTGGTGAACCTGCGTTAATCCTGACAGATTGCCTTTCAGTGAAGGTCCAGCTTCTCCTTGAACTTGTTTACTGATGGGGCTGATACCACTTGTTCGGGTAAGGCGTTCCAGTGACTGACTACTCGATGAGAAAAACGGGACCCTACTTTAATTTCATTAGATCGTGGTTTGTGAACCTTCTTGCTATGGCCTCGGAGATTATTACTGCTGGAGGGAGCAAAAAGATAAGACATATTAACACCCAAATCATAACTACGAAATGACAGTACAAGGTCACCTTGCGTTCTACGATACGAAAAGGATTAGGCGTTTTAAACGCTCATCGTAAGGGAGTTTAGAAGGACCCTTCACTAATTTCGTTCCCACACGCTGGACACGCTCAAGTGAGTTAGTATCCTCTGCCAGAAATGGGCTAGCTGCTTGGATACAGTAATCTAAATGTAGTCTTACATAGGTGGGATATAAAATTCGAAACATTACCGACGCCTTTAAGTAGTAGCTTAGATATATTTAACGATAGCTCCCAAATGCCCTAGTACGGCCGAGAGCGGGGAGAGTCCGCTCTCCCTCTCGAAATGCTCTCACATGGCTACGCGTATATAGCCTCTGCCAGGGAAGTCCTACTCACTGCCTTCTCGTGGCGGGGGTGTCGTTTATGAAATTGAGAGGACGAAAAGCGAATGTCCGGCGCTTTAACCGGATTCCAAACCAATGATGCACATGGGCTCCAATATCCTGAGGGAACAAATGGCGTATGAATCAATCGTTGGTCACCGGCTACCATGGGACTATATCTCACGATGCCCCACTGCCTTGTGGGTCAGACCTATAGGTCAAAGGCTCGGTGTGTGGCCCCCTAAGCTAACCACCTGCTTTGGTCTGGGCACCCTGGCAGTATCACAGCTCCCACACATATCAAATGAAATCTGTGTGGCGCATATGTATTTGGTGCCTTCTTGTACCAATATCTATGTGTTAAAATATGTATAAAAAATAAATGAGAAATATCAGTAAAGTATAGTGAAATACTGTTCTGCGTTCTTAAGAATATGTCAGGTTTCCTCTTGAAGGGATCCCGGGAAGTCGCTTGAACCACTTCAGCCCACAGAGCGTTCCAGATTCTGACTGCTTATAAGGAACAGATATACCTAGTCCACTATGTTGTTGTGCCTCGAATTTCTGAGTGTCACTACAAAGATTTTTATTGAGACTGAGCTTAGGTAGGTGTTTTAGGGGGTGACCAGGAGTGATTATTATGCCAGAAGTCATTTGGAAGTCAGTGACCTCTTTATTTAGGCTTTCGTCCTTTTATTTCCCCTTTTTTCGCCTTTATTTCCCCTTTATTGGTTGCTTGGGACCTCTGAGACACTATACTAAGCATGTAGTAAGCAGCTGTGGGGTTTTTGGATGCTTCGTGAAACCAACATCTGCATTTGCCACACTGCATACCACAGGTGACAGCGAGACGGCATCCAGTGATATTATAAGATCACTAAGTGATCGTGATGAAATATAAGTTGTTAAATAAATTTTAGTAAAAGTTAACAATCGTGAAAAAATCTCTATTAAGATAATCAAACTAGAGAAATTGTCTTGGCCATTTAAAGTAGTCAAAACAAAAATAACAAGTTCACAAATCAGATTTTTCGCTGTCTCAGGAAAATCAGTAACTTACATATCTAGCTCTTTTTAGATCACTTGAAATAATAATATCTGGTTTGCTTTGGTTAATGAGGGTCCGAATATCCCTAGCTTGTTCCAGCCCAACTGCTGATAGATCGGTATCCAAGTGACCTAAAACGCCAAAATCTAAACCAAAATAAAAGTAACCTGAATCACTTGATTTTTATTTTCAGCTGTTTCTCCACTGCAAGATATTTCATTATTAGACTGATTCTTACTGTCTTAATAGCGTCAAGTAGAAATATAGATTTCTCGTTTCATATTTTAGAGGGAAAGATAATTTGTAAACATAGTGAACCATAAATCGTAGGTTTGAAGGTTTGGTACTACAAATTATCTCACTACCAGTTTCTGACAAAATATCTACCAACATATAACACAAAAAATTATTAGGAAAATTAAATAGGCATAGGGGACGTGTCATTGAAAGTTACGAAACAAAACAGTTATTTGTACATAAGCACAAATATATTTAAGCAAACATGTACATAGAAATTACCGTCATACTGACCGCGCCATTTGAAAATAGTTGTAACGGGGTTGAAATCATGTATGGTGTTATTAATCGGTTCTATTTTCTTTCTGTTGAAGGGCAAACAAGAATAAATGCTTCAGAAGAAGAGAAAGCTCTACATGCTCTGGACCTAGCTCTCCCTTCTGTACATAACCCGCGAATTTTCAAATAAACGACTGGTGGCTTCATTCTGTGTTCTCTCTCGGTGTAAAGTGCTCGGTTAGCATGGTGTGTTGTAGTTTCGGGACTTCCCCGCCTGTCAGTGACTCCTGACTGCACGTGTTACGACCGATAATGGAGTTGTCCACGAAAAAACGCGACGAAAATTTAGACGAACCCCCTGTGATCCCAATCAAGGCTGCACCTGGTTCAACCAATCGCCAGCCAACACTGCTCGAGACTTCGTCAAATTACTCTGTTTGGAAGTTTAAAGTCACAGCGTATCTACAGAGAGTTCCAATGGCCGAACATTTCAACTACCTGGTATCCTATTCGAGTGATGCAGCAGTACGAAAGGCTACAGCCAATGGTTTCGCAGCAAGTAACACGCTTCCACAAAACTGGAGAACCTTGGATGACTGTTTCTCCGTACCCATGGACACTCAACAGGTGACGATCCAGTTCTTATCACGTCACCAAAGCAAGTGAGAACCCAATCGACTGCCTTAATTCCTCGCAGCAAATTGCGGTGCAGGCATTCCCTCGTCTAGGTGTCATGGGACGAGAGGAATTAGTACGTTCACTTTCTGTCGAAGGGCTGGTTCCGGGTCCACTAAGAGAGCATTTTCTTCGAAGTCCACAAATCGATACACCTGACTTAGAAAAAACACTCCACTTCTTGGCTGCAGACAAACTAGCGAATTTATCAGATGCATATCAACCATCAGTGATGACTGTGAAACGAACCACAGTATCAACTGGTGGTTACGGTAAGGCTCAGATATTCTCAAATTACTTCAACAATGTATATGCCGTAGAGACACCCTTCCCCTCAGTTCATACAAGCCCCCACACATACACTGGACACTGCGACCTTTAAATGGCCTGATGTCTTAGATCTGTTAAATATGCCTGGTATAGGCAAACCCACGGGACCTGATGAAATGCATCTTAGGTTACTAAAGGAACTAGCTAACTTCATTGCGAACCCCTTAAGTCTATGTTCTAATCTATCCGTAACCCAGGGTCGATTACCAAAAGACTAGAAGAACGTCATAGTAATTCCTATCTTCAAAACAGGCATGAAACATAAAAACCTGAGAACTACTGACCCAATAACCTAATCAGTGTGGTTGCTAGAAGTCTGAAAAATATTATTCGGAAGCTGTATAAGTATCTCGACGAAAACCGGATTCTTTCTGAAAAGCAGAATGGCTTTGGAACAGGTTATTACTGTCGCACTAACTTATTAAATGACCACCGGGATCCGCGACACTGATGTTAGTTCCGTCAGTTCAAAGCGTCAAGCGACAGAAGATAACACTATGGATCTCTTTCATACTTTACCTTCATACTCACACTTGTTTTCCCAATATTCATCCTAATCGAAGACATTATAAAGCTCTCCAAAGAAGCACGTTACTAAGCTATTTGTTTCTAGATCACGAGAAATAGCAAACTTCGATTGGTTTTTGGTAAGACAGTAAGCATGGTGAGTCTTCTAGACATTGCAGGGAACCTCGCAGTTTCCCCAGTTCCAAACCTGCCATCACGACAAACCTCTCGGGAAATCCCGTCGTCCGGCACTCTTTAGCAGCAGCCTAGCCAGTGAACGTAGCAGTCTGTTATGCATCACTGGTGTGGTTGTGAAAATTCTCTATCTCTTGACACTGACGCAGAAGTTATCGTCCTTCCCGCAACTACCAGTCACCGTCCATATGATCAGATATTCAACTGACAGCCGGTGATTGGAAACCCAACTCCCCTCTTTTCCTCACTGTTTTTTACATGATCGGAGTATTCTAGATGACAGATTACGATTGATTTTCGAAAAATGAGTCCATATTTTGACAATATGATCAGTTACTGGTTGGCTATATGGCTGTTAATTGCTGTTTCATAACTTTCTCTACAGTGAAGTTAGTCGAGCAACAGTTATTTACATGCAACCTGTAGACTTTACAAAGTACAGGACAATATATTTGGAAGCGCCCATCTGAGTTCACGTCAAATATTTCGATACTGAGAACGGAGAATCTGAGCTACCACATTTAAAGAAATTAACAGGTATTCCAAAAATGTATAATATACCGTGAGCCCATGTGACTAGGAGGACACCTAAATCAAGACGGATAATTTGAAGTAATGTTGACACCTCGATTGATCCGTATCTTACTATAATATTTCCGTATACCCATAGACTTGTGCCGAGCGCCCGAGGATTATCTTCATTACCACGTGACTCGCTTATAAATATAAATATCTTATCCTACACAGTAGCTTAACATCCGTTGTTACTGTTTGCTACACATCCATAGCCAACCCCTGTTGATAGCATTTCGGAATCATATCTGACCACAGACGCCAGATGGACTCACAAGCACATGCCCCGCACAGTGGCTACTTGACCTGAGGTTACCTGTGGTGATGTAGGTTTCGATTATTGACCTAAATACATGTCCCTCTCTTCAACTAAGTATGCACGGGCTGATCACCAAATACACAATAGGAACAAGTCTGTACTCAATTACGTCGATTACAACAATTTAGATTTGAACTTCATCAGTGTCAATTCTAAGAGAAGTCGGATAGAACTTAACCTCGCCCAAACTATCCATGATTTATTACCAAACAAATATGTGGTCAGCGTCCCAGAGAGTTCTGATCTCAAACACTAAAAATGTGATTGAACATTGACATTTAAAAAAGCTTGAAAGACTTCAGTGTGTACAGAGTGTCATATTGTTTGGTATGCCTGACAGTGAAACCTAAGGTCTGTTAAAAAATACTCCAATACAAGGTTGTGGCATATCGTATTATTAGGTGCAACGCGAAGATTACGTAAAATCAAAACTAAAACCTACTGTTCAATTCACTCTCAGTTTTGTAGTACCACATAAGCAAATTAATTCACAATAATCAATCTTCATTTGAGAGTATTCTAACGTTCTGACACTGCTGATCACATTCCGTTTACTCAATACAGCAGCTTTGATGATTACGGACAATCTTTTAACAACATGATAGAACCTTTGGAATCCTCTTTAAACGTATGGTGTGCCTGAAAGATCTACGCCATCACTTAGAACTCCTGCAAGGACTAAATTTCAAAGTTTATGTATAGAGGACTGTCGTTAGGTTAGCTCCAGATGAAGGCCAGTATCAGACGAGAATATCTACTTCCGTTTTTTTCCTTTTATTCTGGTTGTTGACAAGATCATGAATATCTTCACATCTCAGAGAATTACAGAATAAAGTGGATACACTGGACGGAAATGCATTATTTGAAATTTATGGAAGGCTAAGCAACGAATACAGACGAAGAAGGCTATTTTAGAAGCAATCCTTACGACAGCAGGTTAAAAGATGCACAACGGGAGAAGCAAAATACTGACATATAGCACCGAGAACACCGACTAAATCTCACTTAAAGAAGCTCTAGAAGAGATGGAAAAATTTCCATACTTGCGAGGTATCGCTGATAAATAAAGGGGATCTGGCGCATATATGAAGGCATGGATTATCAAAAGAAGTCTGTATTTCTACAGTTCGAGAGTGTCAGGAACTCAAAGCAAATGTCAGCGGACACCAAATCTAGAATTTTTGTGATATGTTAATACAATTCTATGATATGAAGCTACAATCCAAACTAACACAGCCACTAGAAAAATTGTCAGGCATTCGCGTGTGAATATATAAAATAATTTCGAATCCATTGGCCAGAGACCGTCAGTAACAACCTTTCCTAGTAAAGGACAAACCAACTGCCATATGAAGAATAAATCAAGCAAAGAAGCATCGGGCGAGCAGGATACATTCTATGGAAACCACTGGACTGAACTGAGAAGCAAGCTGTAATTTGCAACGATCATCGTTAGAGGAAAGGAAACAGGCCAAAGAATACTTAGCGCTAATAATTGGAGTCAGACAACAAGGCCATCAATAATGCTTGATAAAACTGGAAAGTGGAGCCCAGAAAAGAGATGGTTGGATATTCCTAACCATACACTTATGTCTCTTGATGGGTAACAGGGTTAAGCCCCGACCGTTGTTGCTACCTTGACGTGGTGGTCGGGCTTGCCTATCGTGATGAAGCAACCGAGCTATACTGGCTGGAACAACCGTTCCTCAAGGTCCTACCATGTCAGACAGGTCGGTTGAAGAGCGGTAAGACTAAAAGCAACAAACCCAAGGTCCGAAGGCGAAGTCGTACTGCTGACTGTACAGAGGTGTGACAGCAGTAAGGTGTTTCCTTCAGACAACCAGCATGACAGCGATGCTGCCTTCCCACAAGGAGGGGTGGGGTTAGAAAAGGTCGACCCTAAAAATGCACACCTCACCTTACCTCACGGATTTCCGTCTCCGGCGGTAAGGCCCTTTGAAGAACGGAGCTAACACGTCAAAACCTCCACGAAAAGGCCGTGCGCGACCGGCCTCAAGCAGTTGTCCCTTGGGCACTGCGGTCACGCTCTCAGGTCACTGAGACCACCTCTAATCCAATTTCCTTTTCAGGTACCTCCAGAAGAACCCTTCCACGGTGTGGGCAACCGGGAAGTGATAACCGCCCTCATACTCTAACAGCACTCAAGACCACTGTATTCATAATCAACCTTCCTCTTCAATTCCTATTATTCCTCCTACATCGACTTTCAACCCTAAACTTCCTCCTTCGGCTTCCTCCTCAAGTGTCACCATAGCCAACGATTCTAGTGCTCAAAACCTTGTCCCAGGTCTACTGAAACCTCGCTCCAAACTACACATTGGAGCCTTCAACGTACGCACCCTATGTCAAATCGGTCAGCAGGCTTCCTTGGCTAAAACCCTAGAGTCTCTTTCCATTGATGTATGCTGTGTCTCCGAAACACGCATACAGGATTCCAGTGTGGTCATTCACTTGACCTCACCTCGGCAAACGGAGAGCCAACGAGATACACCCTTCGTGTATCTGGTGACCCGATGGCCAGTTCTCGTGGACTGGCAGGTGTAGGCATAGCACTAAGCATGAGGGCCGAACAAGCACTGCTAGAGTGGATCCCCGTCAACAGTCGTCTATGTGCTGTTCGGCTGAACGGCTCCGTAAGAACTCGGAAGGATAGGGACACACGTCGTTGCCTTTTTGTCGTTTCTGCCTACGCTCCCACTGACTGCAGCTCAGATGAAGTGAAAGATGAATTTTACAGAAAGCTTCCGAACTTCTTCAGAAAGCTAAACGCTCAGACATAGTACTCGTAGCAGGTGATTTTAATGCTCAGATAGGTAGTTTAAACCAAACAGAAAGGCATTTAGGTGGATATTTTAGTATTCCGACACAGCGAACAGATAATGGTGATCGTCTGCTGCAGCTATGCTCAGACAATCGTTTATTTTTAGCAAACACAAATTTTAAGCATAAGGAGAGACATCGTCTAACATGGCGACCCCCTACACCAAACCAACGATGGACTCAAATAGACCATATTGCCATCAGTCATCGTTGGAGAGGGTCGGTAGAAGATTGTCGCTCATTCTGGAGTACCTGCTTGGACTCCGACCATGCCCTAATACGGGCACGCATCTGCTTGCGCCTCACTGGACGCAAAAAAGCCACATTAAAAAGACCCATTAGAACTGAGTTGAGTAACGAGAAAACCAAAAGTAGGTTCCAGGAACAACTGAGGTCACACTTAGGTAGTTGTGAAGACGAGGCTGACCCAGATGTTGCTTGGAAGGACATACAAGCAGCTGTGGAAACAGCAGTGACATCTATTAGTGACTTAAACCACAGAGTTACAAAGAACCAGTGGATTTCTTCAAGGTCTATCACACTGATGGATTCTCGCAAACTCGTCCCATCAGGTTCCGAACATGATGAAGAGCGTAAACAAATCAGATCTAGGTTAAGAAAAAGTGGGCGATGAAAGCAAAAGAGATGGAAAAGGCGGCGACTATAGGGAACACAAGACAGCTTTACAGACTAATAAAAGAAACTGGAATTAATAAGTCAAGTGTAAGTGAGATTATTTCGGAAAAAGACAATACTCTCATCTGCTCCCAGTCCAGACGTTTAGAACGATGGGCGGAACATTTCAGAGAACAGTTCAGCTGGCCTTCAGCTACTCTACAACTACCCTCCATTCCCAGACAGCGTGAATGTAACATTGAAGTAAGTCAGCTGGCCCAGATGGATTGGCTCCAGAAGTCTTTAAGGATGGTGGTCCAATTTTAGTGATTAGGTTGACTAATATTTTGGCTAAGATCTGGAAGTTAGACGTTATCCCATCTAACTGGTCACAATCACTTATCGTCCCAATATATAAGAAACGGTCAAAATCATCCTGTGACAATCATAGAAGGATTAGTTTAACTAATATAGTATATAAAATACTAGCCTCGATAATTATCAGACGCCTAACTAAGACTCGTGAACTGCAAACACGAGAGTATCAAGATGGCTTCAGACCTGGTTGTGGCTGCATCGACCACATATTCACCATTCGTCAGGTTCTAGAACACAGGCATACTTATCGGCGTCCGACAACGGTGGTCTTTCTTGACTTAAAAGCAGCATTTGACTCTGTAGACCGCGAGACTCTGTGGCAGTGTCTGTCATTGAAAGGCGTACCTCAGAAGTACATAAACCTTGTGAAGGCTCTTTACTCGAACACTACTAGTCGAGTCAGGGCTTATAGCGAACTGTCATCTACTTTTGCAACCTCAAGTGATGTCCGTCAAGGCTGTCCACTTTCCCCATTTTTGTTTAACTTCATCATAGATCTACTAATGGAAATAACTTTCTCGACGATTGAGTTCTCGGGTATTGATCTCCTTCCAGGAGGTCCACTTATCGACTTAGAATACGCAGATGACATAGTCCTGTTTGGTGAAGACGCTGACAAAATGCAGAGTCTTCTGGTAGCACTGAGCAACAATGCCAGAATGTTTGGAATGCGCTTCTCTCCCTCTAAATGCAAGTTGTTGCTTCAGGACTGGTCTGCGTCAACACCTGAACTAAGAATAGGGAGTGAAGTAGTCGAACGCGTTGACAACTTCACTTATCTTGGAAGTCTGATCAGCCTTAATGGGTTGGTGTTTGACGGAATCTCAGCACGGATTCGAAAAGCTCGTTTGGCTTTTGCCAACTTACGTCACCTGTGGCGAAGGCGAGATATCCGTCTATCAATAAAAGGACGAGTATACTGCGCGGCAGTCCGTTCTGTTT